AGGCAACAACCCCTTTAAGGGGTAGGCAGGCAGTTTGCAAACCACTCTGCCAAGTAATGGTAATAAAAACAAAAGGCTAATATTAAAATGTATGCTCCAGTACTTACATATGATTCTGATATACTGAGCACTGTACATTTAGTGGAACATTTAATCCTAATGAGCTAGGTACTTGTACCAGTCCTGTCATAGGCATGAGAAATTTGAGGCACAGAGAGGTTAAGTAACCAGCCTAAGGTCACACAGTTGAGTGGTGGCGCTGGGTATAACCAGAGCTGAGCTCTGAACTGCTTTTAACTACCAAAGCTGGATGTTGACTTTACAACATATGTGCAGTTCAAGTTTCTCTACTGTAGTCAGTAAAGTTCTAGGTGACTAGAGCTTACATTATTTCATCTGACCTGCTCCCGTTCTGAACTCCGGGTTGTTGAAAGCCGCTGACACACTTGTTAATTATTCTCAGGCCGGAGTCAGGGTAGAGTCAAGAGTTTGGTGTGTAGAACTCCATCCGCCCTCAACTGGCAGGATGCAGGCAATGATTCAATGGTCGCGTTAGGCTGGTAATCCGCGACCTCCACCCCTCATTGGTTCAAACAATAATTGTGATGTAGTGTTTGCTTAATGTTTAAAAAGGATACTCTGGTGATTTATGTATTTAAAAATTATGGGCATGCACTCAGAAGACGATGGTGAAAGGTGCAATTATGACATCACAACAAGTGGGTGCATCAAATATTTAATTAGAGGATCAGATGGAAAAAGCTGAAGCAAAGTTGCTCTGATGGGAATGTCACCTAAACTCCAATTCCAGGTCGGGGAGAGCGGCAGGGGCTAGTGTCATCTTTGAAAATGAGATAGGGTTACAGACGAATTTGAGAAGGAATACAGATTTACTGCCTGAATAATTTTAGGACTGGTTTCTTTTAAAAAATGGTTACTTATTAAAACACAAATGATTTATTTTCAGGATTCCAGAAGGCATGTATATATATATATATATATATATATATATATATATATACATACTCCTTTCCAATGTTAGATAGTTGGGGAGAACTGGAAGGCTACTTGCTTCTCCCTTGCTAAGAAAGGGTGTTTATTAGCCAGGATGGCAATGAAAAATTTAATGCACATTTATAGCTGGGGACTGTCCTAATGCCTTTTCTCGCATTAGGTAGAGCCTCATTTGCATATAATCCTAATTCGTTCTTTCTCACTATACCATATGTTAAAAAACTCATAACTATTTCTATACAATTGGGGTTAAATTAGCTGCTTTGAAGACTTCTCTCTTTCCTATGGTAAACTGTCTGAATGGAAATCAGGCATGTGCTAATTTAACAATTTACATGGCAGCCCTGTTTCCTGGCAATGTCCTGTCAATTCTCGAAAGAAAAGGAAGCTATTTCACGACGAGAAATCAAAACGCATTTTCTTCTCTTTCTTTCTTTTCTTTTTGACTTATTCTGTGCAATTGTCCCCAGGAAACTAACCCACCAACCGCTGTCAAGTTTGATTCCTCTTTCTGGAGTTACAGCCTTCCTGCTCCTCCATGTCAGCTGACCTTTCATCTCTGTTCTCCACTTGCAATATTATTTTAGAGCTTTAGGACCCGGAGGACTGTTGAGCCTTTTACCCCCTCCCTCACTCCTCCCCCCCACCCCACCCCGGTTTTTTTTTTTTTAGCCCTTTTAGATGCTTGTGGGTGGGGCCAACCTACAGGGGGACAACAGGGCTGACCCATCCCTTTTCTGACCCTCTGGGGTCATCTTTCTTTCCGCATCTGTTTTCCTCTTGCTTTTTGTTTAAAAATTAAAAAATGAAATAAAAACAATCAAAGAAAGGAAAAGAAACCAAACCAAACCAATGCGTACACCACCTCTGGAGCAAGGTCCGTATGGTGTAGGGTAGATTCAAGTGTGAGTGTACATATTTACCGGTAGGTCTTAAATATGGCGGAAACTCACATTGGCCATAGATGGTAGCATTAGAAGCTCCTCTCTAATTTTTAAAGTATAAAGTATTTACTTCTTTTTCACTGGCAAAAGAGCACTTTTTTTTTCTTCCTGTTTTATTGAGATAACTGACATGTTTTGATTTTGATAAATAATTGTTGCACTCCTCACACATCTCAGGGAATGTTCCCTGGGCTTGGACTCGCTTCAGGAGCTGAGGACCTGAGCCTTCCTAGTGGCACTGCCAGGCTCTTCCTCGACCTGGAAGCCTTCCCCATGGCAGAGCAGCACTTGGGCCCCACACTGGCTTTGTTTGGGAGGTATTTCTGCAGCCTGGGGCCTTCAGCGCATTTGCCTAGCAAGGTTGACTAAAGGGCTCTTTCCAAGATTGATTTTTCCCTGGAAAACTCCCTGAATGCTGGTGAGGAAATTCAGAGGAGGAGCTGGAGCTGTTGATATACTTTTGCATCTTTACGATGGAGGTATGGTTGTTCAGGTAGGACACCAGTTTTTTCTTTTTATTGAACTATATTTACACACAGTGAACTTTTGCACAGCAAGTTTTGACAAATGCACACACCAATGCATTCCTATTTCATTCCCCCAGGTCCCCGCATGCCCTTCGAGGTCAACACTCCCTCAAACCCAAAGGTACTTTTCCTATCACCATAGCTTAGTTTTGCCCATTCTAGAATTTTCAGTTATCACCTAGTATGAACTCAAATTTTGTTTGGCTTCTTTCTCCTAACATGATGTTTTTGCGATTGATCCAGGTTGTTGCCGGCATAAGTAGGACTAGAGATGTCACTAGCAGCTTGATAGTGTTAATAGGGGGACAAATTTTTCCACCCTCTGGCCTCCAGACCAGATACTCTCTAAATCTTGGTGTGTGGCCTTCTCCGCACTTCCAATCAGTCTTTTTCCAGCGCCAAGAAAGTTCTTCTCCCAGAGGCCCAAGCAGCCTCGGGCACCACCCAGATGGCCGCGGGCCGTCACCCGGCTAGCCTCCCCGGACCAGCTGCTCTCTGCTTCCACCCTCTCATTAAAGCTCAAAAGGAAACTGGCCCCTCCCGCAGATCAGAATTATATTCGTTTAATTCCACGTATCCAACTGCACACAATTGTTTGATGTTTTGGTGTTGCTCACAGATTAGGCAGAGTCCTTAAGAGAACGCAGGAGAAAAAAAAAAAAGGTGGAGGGAAACCCAAATCTCACGGGCAGTGGATAGCAGCTTCTGTTGAACCAGGTTTCAGAATGAAATCTTTTCTTTTTTAAATAAACGGAAGAGTCGCTCTCAGCTCCTCGCTCAGAAGGTTTCAAAGGTCGTCACACTGAAGCCTGGGGGCGTTCATCTCCCTAGCGGCCCGGAGGAGGGAGGAGGTTGGAGGGAGAAGGGAGGAGGGAGCACACAAAGCGAGCCGTGCCGAGAGGGCTAATGTTTCCTGTTTGCCTGGAACCCCCTGCCCTGTGTCCCCTCCCCCAGCCCCCTCCCAGCACTCGGGCGGAAGTGAGTTTGCTCCTTTAGAGATTAAAAGGATTCCGAATTCCGATCAGTCCCAATAACCAGCGTTCTGAGAGGAGGAGGAGGAGGAGGAGGAGGGGACGGAGGAGGAAGAGGCGGCAAACCGGAGAAAGAGGGGGCACGCGCGCGCGTGCACGCCCGCAACCCGAATTGGGGGAGTTGAGCAAAGCCCCAGGAGACCAGAGCGCCCGGCGCGAGCGAAGGCGGGTAGGCGCGGCGCGGCCCGGGCCACCCGAGTCCTGCTCGGTGACGCGCTTCAGAAGGAAGATGAAGCGGGCGCGGGCCGGCGTTGTTGGCCACGCGGCTTCCCAGCTCACCGCTCTGGGCCGTTGCCGGTTCCACTGATTCCAGCGCGCCCCGGAGAAGGCTCCGTCCCTGCAACTCGGGACCGGAGGGGGGACCAAGGCGAGGGCGAAATGGCCCGATGACAAAGGAAATGTGATCCCCCTTCGCTGCCAAGGTTTCAGAGAGGACGGACGTGAAGAGGAGGAGGGGCGCGGGGCGCGCGCGGAGCTCGGATAGCATTGCACGACGGCTCGCGCGGAGCGGGCAGCGGGTACATCTAATATCTTCCTGCCGATGAATAATTCAGGGCGGCCCGCGGGGACCTGCGGCCCCGCGCTGCAGCGCTGCTGAACCCGAGGGGAAGGAGCGCGCGGGAGGCGCCCGGGCCCGGCGGGGCGGGGGCGCGAGGGCCCCGGACCGCGCGGGGCGCGCGTGCGTGTTAAGCGCCGGCAGCCGCGGCGGGGATCGGCGGGCGCGCGGGAGAGGCGAGGCGCGTGGGGTGCGCGTGCGTACTACACGCGTGCGGCCCGACCCGGGCCCCTACGAGCTACAGCTGCGGCAGGGCCCAGCGCCCTGCAGGGGAGGCCGCGCCCGCCGAGAGCCCAGCCCCGAGCACAGCAAGCCGGGCCACCCGGGAGCCCCTGGCCGCCGCGTCATGCGCCGGGGCGGCCGGCGTCGCGCGGCGGGACACGGACTTGGTGTCGCGCTGCACACGCCGTTACTACTTTGGGGAGTCTACCTCTCCCAAGAAGAGACGAAGTAAATCTGGCCAGAGAAAAGCAACACACCAAACACTCGTCGAACCAAATTCTGCTTCTCCCGCTGCAACTGGGATTGCACAGCGGACTCCGCTTTGGGGGCCTTCCTTCGGTTAGCGAGACGGCTACCGAGAAGCTAAGCTCCAGCTGCTCCAGGGAGCCCTCTGACCTCCCTGCGCCCGCTCGCTCGTCGCGTGTCGGGACTTGTTCGGGCGCTCCCGCTTTGGGAGGCACGCAGCCCCCACGTCCTCCGGGAGGAATCTCTGTCGCCTCTGGACAGTGGCATTTAATGCCCGCAGCGTCGGGGGTGGCAGCGGGCGAGCTGCGCCACTCCGGTGCCGACTCCCGGATTGCAGGCCTGGCCTAATCGATGCCTTTTGCTGAGTGAGTCGGCGGCTCCCTCCCCCTCCACCTCGTCCGCTCTCTCCTCCTCCTCCTCTTCCTCCCCGGTCTCCTCCCTCCTCCGGACCCGCTTGCAAATGGCTTCGTTCCCTGAGACCGACTTCCAGATCTGCCTGCTGTGTAAGGAGATGTGCGGCTCGCCGGCGCCGCTCTCCTCCAACTCGTCCGCGTCGTCGTCGTCCTCGCAGACGTCCACGTCGTCGGGCGGGGGCGGCGGGGGCCCCGGAGCCGCGGCGCGTCGCCTGCACGTCCTGCCCTGCCTGCACGCCTTCTGCCGCCCGTGCCTCGAGGCGCACCGGCTGCCGGCGGCGGGCGGCAGCGCGCCAGGAGAGCCACTCAAACTGCGCTGCCCGGTGTGCGACCAGAAAGTGGTGCTGTCCGAGGCGGCAGGCATGGACGCACTGCCCTCGTCTGCCTTCCTGCTCAGCAACCTGCTCGACGCCGTGGTGGCCACGGCCGATGAGCCGACGCCTAAGAACGGGCGTGCCGGCGCCCCCGCGGGTGCGGGCGGCCACAGCAACCACCGCCACCCCGCGCACCCGCGAGCGGCTGCCTCAGCGCCGCCGCCGCTCCCGCAGGCGCCGCCGCCTCCCGCGCCCTCCCGCTCTGCGCCCGGAGCCCCGGCGGCATCTCCGTCGGCGCTGCTATTGCGTCGGCCTCATGGCTGCAGCTCCTGCGACGAGGGCAACGCGGCTTCGTCGCGCTGCCTCGATTGCCAGGAGCACCTGTGCGACAACTGTGTCCGCGCGCACCAGCGCGTGCGCCTCACCAAAGACCACTACATCGAGCGCGGCCCTCCGGGCCCCGCCGCCGCCGCCGCCGCCGCGGCGCAGCAGCTCGGGCTCGGGCAGCCCTTCTCCGGCGCGCCCTTCTCCATTCTTTCGGTGTTCCCCGAGCGCCTCGGCTTCTGCCAGCACCACGACGACGAGGTGAGTGTGGGCGCACCGAGGGAGCCACCCCGGGCGGGGGGGTGTTGGCCGCCGGGTCACTGCGGGTACCCACGAAGGCCCGTCCTCCGGACCGGTCCCAAAGCGTGGGGGGGAGGGGGTCCTTTTTGGATTTCGAGGTGTTCCTTTAATTACGTGGCAGCTGTCACTGTGGATCATGACGTGGGGAAGTCTGTGTGTAGAACGTATGGCTTCTGTGTTTGGGACCCGACGGATCCCAGAAGTTGGAGGCGTGGGAGTCCCTCCTTTTTACGTATCTAATTCTCTGTGTGGCAAACGTGGCAACCGTTGTGTCCAGTGCAGCGGGAGGAGAATGGATGTGTGTCTCTGTGGATCTGGTCTAAGTGCGTGTTTTCCCTCGTTCCCCGATGGTTGCCGGGGTTTGAGGACACCTCCGCCCCTTCGGGGACTGTATTTCCCCATTTCTTTTGCATAAAACGTGCATGTTAAGACAACCGACATGGAAGTGTGTGTGTGTGTTGTGTCCCTATATAGATGTGGTTTCCTGCGGGCGCAGCGGAGGCTTCCCCAACGTGCTGAGGGCTCTCCTTTTATTTTCTCTTGTTTGTTTCTAAGACACGTAGATTGTTCTGGGCTAGGGCGTGAGCCAGGAAGCTGCCTGCGGGTGGGTTAGGAACGCGTGTGTTTGTGGAGACCAGTCTTCCGCGTGCGTCCTTGTGAGGGAAGCGCAGTCGGGGGACCTTGCCCATTGCCCTCAGCCATCTGGGAGCCTTGGGCTGCCCCCTTCAGCTGCGGCTTCGATCTTTACCGGAACCAGTTTACCTGGTTGGGTGTCCCCGCCCCAATCTGCCTTGTGGAAAGCAGACATGTGTACGCGACTCGAACCCAGGGTACACAACAGCTTTTGGGCTTGATTTCCCTGCTGCCTGTCGAATAAACCGTTATTGCTTTTCACACCGCGTGACACTTTCCACTCACCCGTCCCTATTACAGGAAGGGGTCAGAAATTTGAGGAGCAGGTTCTGCCGAGGGTTGGTGACTTTGCGAGCTACCTGTAGTCCCGTGGGATTTGGTGTGTTTAATAAATGTGGTCTTTGCATTGGGAAAGCAGGAGATGGCAGCAGCTTTAAAAATTCTAGTGGGAGTTGCTGCGAGATGGAATGGCAGCGTTGGTTCCGAGCACGGCTGAGGCTTGCACTGCGCAGCCTTTTCTGCTCCCAACCTGTTAATTTGGGGAGGAGGGCGGAGCTATTGCCGATGGCCTTTGGCTGTGGCTTCTACTGGGAAAAAGTTGAATTTCTCATCTACTTGTTTTGGGCGCCTCGTTTAAAAAATGTTCTTCCAGGTATGAAGCTAGGGGGCACTTAGTGCTTTACTTAGTGTTTAAAGCTTTGAATGGACTCATCTTAAAAGTTTATTTTCACATTCAAATGTTGCTAGTGTGTTCTTTCTTCATTTTTATAAAGATGAATGATTGAGCTCCCAGTCTGAATCCTAGGAATGGAAAGATGGAGCCAAAATTCACTGGCCACGTTTTTCCTCCTGGGAGGGACGCTGACGGAACCCTCCCTCCCAGCAATTGAGTTTAAATGTCAGGTTTTCTTTATATCCCCAGTTAAAGATCCACGAAGGTTTTATTTGGGCAAAAACAGTGGATGCTCTGTGTTGGCCGAACTTGTAAAATGTTTCTACACTTCTTAAATTATCAAACTATTCAAACGGTGTAGAGGAGTGTAAAGAGAGAAGGCAACCTCCCCCCTCATCTTGGGAGGTACCTGGGTGTCCTGGAAGTTAACTTTTTAACATGTGCGATGCTAGGTTGAAGTTGCTTGGCAAAAAAAATTAAGGTATTACATTGTTAAGTTAAATGTCCTTTGGAAACATGAAATATTTCCAAACATGGTCAGGTTTGAACCAAATTCTACTTTCCCTCCCTAGGCTTTCGTTTGAAGAAGAAAGCTTGGAAGCTAATTTTTAGACTCATTCTGGGGTTAGACGCTTTTAGGCCATTTGAATTTTAAGGTGACAAACTAGTGCTGTGAATAGAGGACTCAAGTGTGGGGAAGGAAAGCACCAGGCTCATATAGGGTGCCCCGTGGGTTAAATGAGCCGTTTTTCTTTACAAGGAGTTGATTTAACAGTTTTGGACTATTGTTCCTTCAAAAGGCCGTGCACTTCTTGCCTGGAATGGGAGCTCAGGGCACAGAGGAAGGTGAGGGTGCTCTCTCTTCTTCAGTTGTGATACACTGAAAGCCTGCATCCACCTATATTTCTGAATATACAGTCTACCTCGGTTTCTCGCATGTGCTGCTTTTACGGACCTGTCTCCGGTGCCAACAGGCTCCATTAAATAATTAAGGGCGTCCTTGCCTTAAGACACCTGACCTTGGGAAGGAGGCCCGGACCCAAGCTTTTCTCTTTGCTGTTACAGTGCTTCCAACAGTGGGCCCCCAGGGGTGCGGGAGGCAGCCTTAACGTCCTGGCCCCAAGATCGCTTTCCTTAACCCCTACCCCCCTCACTCCCCGGAAACGGCGCCTCAGGATTGGTAGTGTTTTGAGTTCTTCATTCAAAATGTAACTTCAAAGTAAGAGGGAGTTGGATTTTCCAACGAAATGATAAAGAGTTGTTTCCTCCCGATCTCATAATTAGCTCATGGAGACAACGTAATTGGGCTTTTTGGATAGTTTGGTGTCTCGATGGTCAGTTGAAAAGGCCTGCAGACCCGGCGAACATTCTGGGTGGGATTTAGGGCCTGGGAGAGGCAAGAGAGAAGGCCCGGGAAGGGTCCGCGCCCTCGCCGGCCCGCCCTGGGCCCCTCCGTGCGCCCCCCAGAAGGGGTTCGCTGCCCCACCCCCCACTGCCCCGGTACGCCCCGGGAGGGGTCTGCTCCCCATCCCCCCACTGCTCCGGCCCGCCCTGGGCCCCTCCCTGCCCCCCCCCGGGAAGGATNCCAGGAGGTAAGCGAGGCAAGGGCTGCTCCTGCCAGGCACAGGCTGCTCTTCAATGTTGTGTTACCGGCTCAGGATGTGAGCCCTTGCTGCTGCCTTGGGGGAGACATTGGGAGCAGAAATGTCGGGGGAGGCCAGGGTGTGTGTCGTGTATTAAAGGGCTGGGCATTGGGATTCTGTAAATAGCGGGGAGCCAGTGGGGTCTGAGTTTGTTCCGGTTCCCGGAAAGGCCCTGGCGGTGGGCGCTCGCCGGGGTTGACACAGTTGCCATCTTCGGCCCAGGGAAACATTTTAGACCGTCCCGCCCAGCCCGAGGATGGCAATGTTTCCAGTAGGCAGGCCAGGGGGCGGGATTTTCCTGAGTCTCCCGGATGGAATACGGGGGGCAGGGGCTGGTAAAGTTTATATTCAGAGCCTGTGTTGGGCTTTAAAAAAAAAAAAAGGCTGCCTGGGAAGATAAATTCTAGAATTCCAACCCAGTTTGACCCTGAATATTGATTGATCCCTCCTAGGCTTGGGGACTTAACCTTTCCCAGGAATCACTCTCCAAAAATCAACCACAAACGACTTTGAAAATGGTGCTTTCCTGCTTGTGGAATGAATTCTTGTATCTTTGAGTAAGTTACTTTTGGGGATTGTACTGGTATTGACGCAATTCATTTTATCCTACATTCCTAGAGTCTTAAGCTTTTTCAGGCATGCATACCCAGTGTATGCATGTTTGCTTTTAAGTTATATGCAGGTGCTGTGCAAATTATGAAATCTATAACAAAAGGCTTTTTTTTTCTGGTAAGACAAAAAAAATGAGTAGAAATGTGCATTCTGGTATTTTTGTATCCCCTCTTCAACCAGCTTTATAGGACTAGGTGGATATGTGGCTGCTTAATGAATATCTCTGCCCTGTTTGCCAGAGAACCAAACTTGCCATACCTTGGAAATTATTGGAGGTTGCTGCTTTGAATCCACTCCAGCAGGTAGATGTTTGTACATTGAAGTCTGTTAAATTTAGAAAATGCTTGGTGAAACTATATGGGTGAGAAATGTATATTATTGATATCTTAATTACTTAGCCTTGAATGTAATCTGTTTGTGGACTTCTAAAAAGTCACTTTGGAGCTGAGGAATGTACCAGCTCTGCCATTAAGGTGGACAGGGATAGATTTTATCAACATATGGGTCCCAGGGAAGTGGGCTAGGCCTAGTTGGGCAACCTTGTGGTGAGTGGTTGCCTCCTAGGCATAACCCCAAGTCATAGGAATATTCAACTCTGTTGTGTTATTTTTGTGACTGATTTTTCTTTCTAAAGGTTGCATAGACTTGCTTTTGGTCTACGAATTTTATTTACAGTGCTAGGAATCTATTGTTTAGAAACAGTGAAGCTATTTTAGGAAGAAAATGGGCACTTTCTCCCAGACTTTAGTCTGTTCTGTATTACTGTGGGTTCTTCCTTCATGATTCAGATGTTTTGCAGTTAAATAGATGTGGAATAAAGAAATTTTGAAAGTTTTGAGACATTTCCTTTTGCCACCCCAGCTCTCTCTCCCATTTTAGCTATTTGTGAATGCTCTTATTTTAGAGTTCTTTTCACATTTCAGGATGCTAAAACCAACATTAAAATGTAGTTAAAGCATTACTTAAAATGAAGTAAATTCTCCCTACATGTAGAATTTTGAGCATAGCTGTTTAGCTTTTTATATTTTCATTTAAAAAATTATTTGTGCATATATAGAAAGGGAGTTAGCACTGGGTGGGGAAGTTAGAAGCAAGGGTGTGAGAGGGTTAAAACACTCTTGTAGAAGTAGTTTGCCAGGAGAAAAGGGTTTTTAAGCTTTACTGATTAAAGAGACGTTTTACTTGATAATTCTATAGCTCAAAAATTTAACCCCTAATAGATTTTGTATCCTTTGATATTAACTGAAAAGGCATGCTTATTTATATATTGCTATTTCTCCTTCCCAGTTCCTCATACAGGGCAAGGTTTATTTTAGATGTATTGTTTCTTAGTGAACAAAGAGCCATTTTAGTGTCATTCTTTGGGACATGTAAGCAAAAGTTTGAGAAGTACTCTACTG